GGGGCACTGTGGGGTCTGGTGAGCGGTCCCCTTGGAGCGGCCGTCTCCGCAGTCGCTCCGCTGGTGCTTCGCCGCTGCACCCTAGTCGTCGACCCCCTCTCTCCCCACAGCAGCTGCGTGAGTGGTACGCTGGTCGTCAGGGTCGCGCTGCTGCAGCTAGGGGCCCTACTGCGGGAGGCGCTGGCGCTGGTGCCTCTACTACTGGAGTTTTTGGAGCTACTGAGGGTGCTGGTGCTGGAGGTTCTGGAGCTGGTGCTGGTGCTGGAGGTTCTGGAGCCCCTGCGGGTGCTGGCGCTGAGGGTTCTGAGTCTGCTGCTGTGCGGTCTCCGTGGAGTGGCCGCCTTCGTCCGCGTGTGCCTCTCACCTCACAGCAGTTGCACGACTGGTACGGTCGCCGTCAGGGTCGCGCTGCTGGAGCCCGGGGCTCTGCTGCTGGAGGTACTTCTGCTGACGTCCCTGGAGCTGGGAGTGGTGCTGGTCCTTTGTCTACTGGAGGTGCTGGAGTCGCTGGTCCCGGAGGTGCTCGTACTGGAGGTACTGGAGCTGCTGGGGCTGGGGGTGCTGCGTCTGGAGGTGCTGCTACTGGAGACACCGAGGCCTGAGACCCTGCGACTGGAGGTGCTGGTTCTGGGGGTGCTGCTGCTGGAGACATTGAGGCTGGAGACCCTGGGACTGGAGGTGCTGGTTCTGGGGGTGCTGCTGCTGGAGGCACTGAGGTTGGAGACCCTGGGCCTGGCGATGTCGGCTCTGGGGCTGGAGCTTCTGGAGCTGCTGGAGGTGCTGGAGCTGCTGGAGGTACTGGAGCTGCTGGAGCTGCCGGTACTGGTACAGCTGCGCCGACACGACTGTTCTTCGCTCCGCCGTCTCCGTCGTCTCTGCCGCCGCCTGACTCTGTTCTTCGTCAGGTTCTTACTCTCCCGTCGTCTACTGGTCTTCCGTTATAGCCTGGCTCACCGCTGCCTGCTCCTTCTCCTTACACTGAGCAGCCAGGTAGTCTTGCTGAGCGTCGTGAGCCTGCGTCGCATCCTGTCTCGCCTGTTCGTCCTAGTCGTACCGGTCGTCGTGTTCCTCGTCCGCGTCAGCCGGCTGTCCCCGGCGCACACCCCTTGTAGCCCTGCGTCGGTCCCCTACTCCGGAGCGTACTCCTCTTCCGTCTCCCCCTGCGTCCTCTTTGCCTGACGTCGCGGACCCTGAGTCCGACCGGTTTCGTGCTGAGCACCCTACTGTCACGCGTCTGCTAGCCACTGTTGTCACTGACCCGTCGTTTGAGTCTGCTGCTGCGTCTGCCCTGGTCGCTGAGCTTGTTGACTTTGCTGCTGCCTGTCGTCTAGACTACGCTGCTAGTCTTGTTGCTGAGTCTGAGTCTGTCTGTCCTCCGTCCGTCGGGGGTGAGTGTGCTCTTGGCACGGACGTCCTTGAGGACAGACAGGAGGACCTTGCGTGTCTTGCGGCTGCTGCGCCTCATCTCGTGGCCATGCTGCTTGCCCCTGAGGGAGACCCGGATGCTATAGACATCCCCACACCGCGCTCTTACGCTGAGGCGATCGCGGGTCCTTACTCCTCTCAGTGGCAGGCAGCCATGGACGCAGAGATGGCATCCGGGAAGTCCACAGGCACTTACGTCGATGAGGTTCCCCCTCCCGGGGCGAACATCGTCGATGGCATGTGGATTTTCAGGGTGAAGCGGCCGCCAGGTTCTCCGCCTGTCTTCAAGGCGCGTTACGTTGCTCGAGGCTTCAGTCAGCGAGAGGGAGTTGACTTCTTCCAGACCTTCTCCCCTACCCCGAAGATGACTACTCTTCGGGTGCTGCTGCACGTTGCCGCTCAGCGTGACTACGAGCTTCACTCCCTTGACTTCAGCACAGCTTTCCTACAGGGCAGCCTGCACGAGGAGATCTGACTGCGCCGCCCACCTGGCTTCACTGGGCCGTTCCCTCCTGGTACCCAGTGGAGCCTTCGCCGGCCAGTCTACGGTCTCCGCCAGGCACCCCGTGAGTGGCACGACACACTGAGGACTACCCTTGCGGCTCTTGGGTTTGCGCCTTCGACTGCTGACCCTTCACTGTTTCTACGCACCGACACTTCGCTGCCGCCGTTCTATATCCTCGTGTACGTCGACGACCTGGTCTTTGCTACTGCTGACACTGAGGCCCTCGCCCTGGTGAAGTTGGAGCTGCAGAAGAGACACACGTGCACAGACCTGGGTGAGCTGCGCAGCTACCTTGGCTTGCAGATCACCCGGGACCGAGCACGCCGCACCATCACACTGACTCAGTCACACATGGTGCAGCAGGTCCTTCAGCGCTTCGGCTTCACCTGGTCCTCAGCACAGGCCACTCCTCTGGCTATAGGTCACTCGCTCTCAGCTCTGCCTTCGGATGAGTCTGTAGAGCCGAGTGGTCCTTACCCAGAGCTAGTGGGCTGCCTCATGTACCTGATGACTTGCACTCGTCCTGACCTTGCGTACCCTCTTGGCCTTCTGGCTCGCTACGTGGCTCCTGGTCGGCACCGAAAGGTGCACTGGGATGCTGCGAAGAGGGTACTGCGTTACTTGTGTAGTACATCGGGCATGGGGCTCGTGCTTGGAGGACGACGAGAGGTGGTCCTCACTGGGCACTCAGACGCTTCTTGGGTTGACGACCAGGCTACGCAGCGGTCGTCACAGGGTTACACTTTCAGCCTTGGCTCTGGTTCTGTTTCTTGGCGTTCTACTCGCTCGTCTTCTGTTCTCAGCTCCAGTTGTGAGGCTGAGATCTACGCCACCGCCATGGCTGCTCAGGAGTTACGCTGGCTCACCTACCTGCTGACCGACCTGGGAGAGCGGCCTCGTTCTCCTCCAGTGCTGTACGTCGACAACAAGGCTGCCATTGCCTTGTGTGAGGAGCACAGACTGGAGCACAGAACGAAGCACATCGCTCTGCGGTACTTTCTGGCTCGAGAGTTGCAGTAGCGTGGTCAGCTTCGTCTTGCACACGTGGCCACTCGGGCCAACACTGCTGATATATTCACCAAGGCACTTCCGTCTGGTGATCATCAGCGCTTTTGTACTTTGTTAGGCCTTGTGCCTACGTTTCCACACTTGCTGTAGTCTTTTGTGTGTACTGTGCTCTATATTTATACCTGCATGCTTGCTCTTGCTATGTATTGATAACTGTACTGCTCTTGTTGCTTATATACCGTAATCCCCCGGATATAACACCCTAGGGTGTTATGTAAATCCCCTTACAAAAAGGAGGGGGGGCTTTAACAAAGGAAAAAAAATTATACTACCGGGTGTTTTCATATGACATCTATTCTTTTTAGTGTTTTGAACACTACTGCTAATACTGAAGTTGGGGTTCTCTTTTGGTGAGAAACAAGCCAGCGGAACCTTTTCGCGTGAAATGTTGCTGGAAACTATTGACCAGTCAGAAGGCATTCGCCTCTCACAGCAAAATCTCCCTCCTAACGTGGCAATCCCTCCCCTCCCGACGCAGCAAATTTGCCCCCTGACCCAGCAAATTTGCCCCCTGACGCAGCAGATTCACCCCTGACAATCCGGATTCACCTCCCGACAGTCAAATTTCGCATTATAACATGTTTCGGTTAAGAATGTCAATTCGAAATCAACATGGAAACACCCCTACAGGGGGACGAGGGGGGTGTTATATTGTTCACCCCTCAAAAGGGGGGTATAACGATTTCGAGGCTTTATAAAGCCTCCCCCCCGTATTAGCTACCCGGGGGTGTTCTATTTTGGGGGGGTCTTATATCCGGGGGATTACTGTATATCTCTGCATGTGGACTGGCCTTGCGGCCCTTTGCTTGTGCTCAGAATGTGTGGTGACGTTGAGATCCACCCTGAGCTTGCTTTGCGTCTCTTGACTGGTCGTGTGACCCCTTGTTCTCCCCCACTTTGCCTATGGGGGTGTGTCAAACATATATGCTGCATATTGTCTAGGCTGTAGTGGGGTAGCCCATATGGGGTACAACCCAATTAGGGTTTAGTACTTGTACTCCTGCATGCTGTTAGTTCATCATTCCTGCCTGTGATTTCAACAGGGAATGTACCCCTTAGAGTACATGGCTAGCTAGGACGCTTCGCCTTCCCTGTACTCTTATTTATATCGTTGTATTTGCATGTTTTAATCATCTCAAGCATTTTACATTCACTCTGCTATTGAGGTCAAGGGCCCACCAACACTACCTTACTGCGTGCGAACCTTCCTGAGTAGATCCTGGTGACGATCAGCTTCTGATCGTAGCACATGTGATGATTTCGGCTTGGCAACACACTGCCAGGGTGTCGGATTCATGCAAGAAGAACGATCTTCAAATGCCAGGCCTGCCCATAATACCCCTGGAATGCGTAGAGCTGAATCTAGAGGCACTGTGCTGTGTGAGTTCAGCTTGAATAGCCCAGGGTGGAAGCAGCAGCAGCAGCAGCAGCAGCAGCAGGAGCAGGAGCAACAATTGCAGCACAAGCATCTGAATTGTGAAGGCAATGTCTGTGCGGTTTTAGAGAGAAGACGAATGCTGATACGAGAAATTAATATGTACAGGGAGAGGATGATTTGACAATTTTAGCTGAGCTTGCATATGCAACAATGTTGCATTTTTTCAGGCTTGCCGTGCCTTAGCTTCTGGTCCTTGCTTTGTCTTTTAGTAAAGCAAAATCTGTACAGTTCCAGGACTTCCTACTACAAGCGATGTAGTCAATAACATCCAACATATCGACTATGATGGCTAGGTTCGTCTGTACTGGACAATCTAGTTGCTTCGCTCTCTCAATCAAGCCCTTGGTTGTTGCGTCTGGTGCGTTTTCTTGAAGCGAAAGCCGTGTCGCCATGCTGCTATGCGTCCGGTGCGTTCCGCGAGGTACGGGTTTGCCGTCCCAATGTCTTCATGTAACTTCATTGAAACAACCTGAAATGCTTCGCGTAAATCCAATTAACGAGCCTGGGGTTCCTGTTACCGCGCGGCGAACCTCCCCTTGTCGCCATCGCTCATGGCGGCATGCGATGATGGCTCCTATTAATCACCACGCGCTATACTCACCATTCGTTCCGCACAGTCAGCGCTGCGCTTCCCGTTACATCCACGTGTCAGCAGCACAAGCGAACGTAACGCGCGAAAACGCTCAGTCCCCATCCGTGGCAAAGCCTCTTACCACACCCGACGCACACGCGCAGACCCCGCCCGCCATTCCCGCGTGGCCCGCATTCTCCGCCGCGTTTTCCGGCGAGTGGGCGGGATACTCAGTCGACTTCTCGCGCTTCGGCCAGCCCTTGGAGTTGCCGCAGTCCGTCGTTCCCGAGGCGTTCCGCGATTGGGGGCTCGTCCAGTACGCGTGGCAATCGCAGACGTCCAGCTTCGCTCGCGGGGAGACCCTTGGGAACGCCGAGATTCTCTCTTCGCTCGTGCGGTACGCGCCTGCTGCGGGATGCGAGGCTGCGTCTCCGCCTAAATACAGCGTTGAAAGGACGGCCTTGGAGTTATCTGCTCTTGCTCCTGGTGCTGCTTCTGCTGCGGGCGACTTGTTTGCATTCTCAGCAGATGGTTCTTATCTGCTCATCCGAGCTGGCCAGTCCTCCACCATGCCCGCGCCTGCCAGCGTGGACGCCATGCGGGCCACTCAGTGGATGCCACGTGGCACTGACTCCACGGCCCGTGACTCTAACGAGTGTGATTCAAACGGGGCATTCGGCAGCATGGCAGGAGGGCCGTTTCAGGTGGAGCATTGCTTGGCTTTGGAGGGGGTGGAAGCTGCGAGTGGTAAGGGGAGAGTTAGAGTGCGCGTTGTGCAGCAATTCAAACCAGAGAAAGCAGCAGTAGGAGGAAGAGAAGGGGGAAATGGACGAGGAAAAGGAGTAGGAGCTGTAGCCATGCCTCGGATTGCCAGCCTGGCACTGCACAGGGAGAAGTGGGTGGAGCCATTTTCGGGCGGCGCTGAGCTGGCGGACGGCGCAGTGCTGTTCAGTTCAGAGATGATTGAGGAGGGGGAGGGGAGTGAGGCAGTGAGGGAAGGCAGAGTGAAGGAGATTGAGGGGCGGTGGGAGGCGACGGCACGAACAGCTCAAGTGCCCACAGCTGTAAGGTTCAACTCAGACGCCAGGGGGTCCCTTTGCCTGGAGGACACATTGACTAGTAATTAATCTCCGTCATTAATTCATATATTTACTAGTAAAATGACTCGCGTATTGGGGTACTCGTCTAATGGTTTCCCCCCGGCTCTCCACAGCCTGCATCATTCATATGTGAACCAGACAAAATCTCAGCATATTTTGAATACTTTCTTCAATCTCGGTTTTTATTGCCTCTGTTGCTTCCTCTCCCTCCGATTTTCATTCCTTTCAACCCCTTTTTATTCCCTCAAACTTGCGCCCAGCAGCTTGCCGACTCACCATCACTTGTTGCTCTGGAGTTGGCCGAGCCAATCCAAATGGAGCTCTCAAGGCACATTGAGACATCTACTTTGGAGGATGGGATGTTCATGATGCTCCCTGAGGTAGGAAATCTACCAGGATTCAGGATCAAAGGAAGTAAGTGTTCTTGTGATGAGACATTGTTTCCATACCTTGTTAAATAGCTCATCTTTAACATCTTCGCTCACTCCCTCCTCCCATCCCTTCACTTGCTGCCCCTGTTGCTCCTCCTGCCTCCTCTGCTGCCCTGCCCCCCATGCTGCCCCTGCTGCCACTGCCGCATCCCAGGGAGTATGGAGTCATGTGCATAAGGTGGATGAACCGTCAGGGGAAGACTCGTTTTGTGTGGAGGCTGGGTGGCTGTTTTCTTCCAGCCAGGCAATTGTCTCACGGGTTCACTTTGACCAATCAGGAGATGTGAAGGTGCGTTGATCTGTTGAGTGGAACTCTGCACAGACTAAGGGTAAATGGGTACAAGTTCTTTTGCTCTCTCGCATGACTTACATCAAACTTCCACTCCCGTGTCTAAATCGCTGTTATAATGACTAAACCCATGTGTTTGTCTTCTGTTTCTCTTATGCAGAGTGTATCGATATCGATGGAGAGGAGAATTAGCAACTAAATGCATTGAAGAAGGAAGCTGTGGAAGACCTGGTAGTTGAATAGCCTTGAAATATTTATGTTTAAGGAATTTCTTGTCATGTAGTCTTTAGAAGCGTTATCTTCCTCGTTGCACCAATTCTCAAGGTTTTGTTTTGTCGGAGATGCGAAAGTCCCAATCCAAGAACTCGAGGGAAGGAGGTTTTAAAGCTGCGGTCTACATACCTCAAGCGGGAGGCAAAGGTTTATCACTTGAAAACAGGGTAACCCTAAGCCCACAAAGCACCCCTTTGCGGAGAAACGAAAGTCGAGGCGGAAGGAGGGAGGGGGGGTGGGGGTGAGCAAACCAACAGCGAAAACAAGTTCGCCAGATTAGAACTTGACCCGCATGATAGTTTGTAGACTGAAACTCTCCCGATGATGGTTGCCAAAGCTCAGTCGCTTGACCGCTAGTGATATCGGAGATTTTAGTCGCCACGAAACCAGCTTCTGGTACTTACACCTCGATTGCAATAGCGATTTAGGGTGCGTCGGCCGCGGATTACCAGCGTAGTCAAACACACCGTCGTGTTCTGCCCTGTACTCGTTGCCAGAGCTCCGCCTCGCCTAACAGTCACTGCTAGGAAAATTCGTCGCCTAACCACGGTGGTTCACCGCCTCGCCTAATATCGGTACGCCTCGTCGCCTTAGATCAGCTGGTCTCGTCGCCGGATATCTGCTCGCCGTATCGCCGCGTTCTCCTCTTGCTTTCCCAAGTAGCGCTCCCACGTTCCTGCGCACGGTCCACTCCTCATAGCTCTTTTCTACCACTGTGGTACTAAAATCTGACAGGCGGAATTGTAGTATTCTCCGGGCGCGAGACGGGATTCAGTATAAGAGAATACGTAACACAAACTGAAGTCTGCAGCGAGGAGGTGCGAGCCGCAGACGGGATTGAGTCGCGATATCGCGCGACTGGCGGTGGGGTGTGTGCCGCGTTTACGTGCGGGGCGCGCGCTGGGAGCTGCCGCGATTACCTGAGGCGAGAGGCCGGGTGTGAGCAGCGACGCGGTTTGGCGATGCGGACGGGTATGAGCACCGATGACGCCTCATATGCGAGGGGGATGGGAGCGACAATTTGCGACGGGGTAAGCCGCGAAATGCGAGGGAGGTCGGCTGCGAGCAGGCGCGGGGGGATAGCATGCGAGCAGGCGCGGGGGGATAGCATGCGAGCAGACGCGGGGGGATAGAATGCGAGCAGGCGCGGGGGAATATCATGCGAGCACACGTGGGGGGATAGAATGCGAGCAGGCGCGGGGGGAAGGCATGCGAGCAGGCGCGGGGGGATAGCATGCGCCATGCCACCCGCCTTCATTGAACACGTGCCATGTCCTCACGCTTTCATTGCCTATGTGGGCAAGCCCCAGGTTTTTCCTTCCCTATCCCTATCCCCCCCAGCAACTTCCCTTCTCTCCTCATGTGCCTGTTGTTGTCTTGCTGTTGGCTTGCCCATTAAAAAAAAGCAGAAGCCAGGAGGGCAGATGCCATGGTGGTGGCTTAATCTCAGCCTTCCCATCACTCCTCCCCGCCTTCCCATCCCTCCTCCCTGCCTTGTCTTCCTCTCACTGCCTTGTCTTCCTCTCCCTGCCTTGTCTTCCTCTCACTGCCTTGTCTTCCTCTCCCTACCTTGTCTTCCTCTCCCTGCCTTGTCTTCCTCTCACTGCCTTGTCTTCCTCTCCCTGCCTTGTCTTCCTCTCACTGCCTTGTCTTCCTCTCACTGCCTTGTCTTCCTCTCCCTGCCTTGTCTTCCTCTCACTGCCTTGTCTTCCTCTCCCTGCCTTGTCTTCCTCTCACTGCCTTGTCTTCCTCTCACTGCCTTGTCTTCCTCTCCCTGCCTTGTCTTCCTCTCCCTGCCTTGTCTTCCTCTCACTGCCTTGTCTTCCTCTCCCTGCCTTGTCTTCCTCTCACTGCCTTGTCTTCCTCTCACTGCCTTGTCTTCCTCTCCCTGCCTTGTCTTCCTCTCACTGCCTTGTCTTCCTCTCCCTGCCTTGTCTTCCTCTCCCTGCCTTGTCTTCCTCTCCCTGCCTTGTCTTCCTCTCCCTGCCTTGTCTTCCTCTCACTGCCTTGTCTTCCTCTCACTGCCTTGTCTTCCTCTCCCTGCCTTGCCTTCCCCTCCCTTCCTCTTTTCGCTGCCCTTTCCCCTCTCTCCGTTACTCCCATCTCTTTCCTCTTTCTCCCTTACTCCCTTCGCTGCCTTCTCCCCTCTCTCCCTTACTCCCACCTCCGCCCTCTCCCTTATTGCCTTTGCTGCCTTTTCTCCCCTGTTTACTTTTGATTCCTTCCTGCCCATGCTTTCTTTTTCCCCTGGTTACCCTGTGTTTCCCCCCATTTTACCTTTTGTTTCTCTGCTGCTAACACTCTGTTGTCACTCCCTTGTTTCCTCTCTGAAACTTTCAGATTCTCCAGAAGGCCTCCGTTACTCTGTTACCCCCCTGTTGTTGTGCTCTTACTCTCCCCTTCCTGGCCCCTAAGTCACTTGTTATCTTACCATATGTTTCTGCTCCCTCTGGCTTCTCCTACCCACCTTCCTTGTCCCTTCTGTGTGGTGCAGCTCGTTGCAATGAACAAGCCGAGCTAGGTATTAGTTAGATTTAGGATCGTGTGGGCCCTCGCAACATCAAGTATCAAGTTTCACGAATTACAACAAACAAGGGTTCTGTATATCCAATGGTGATGTCATTGGTGATGTTTGGCGATTATGTGAAGGTTTTCTCTGGTAACACTGCTTCATGAAAAGAGCAGGGCTGTTGTTTTATAAAAATCTCAAGGTACAAAACAGCCTTCCACCAGTCTTGTCGCCTCAGCGACTCAGCGTGCTCATACACATGTTGCTGCACACTCTGCGCAGCCAAACTTGGTTGTAAGGGCACAGCTTTGCCCTGCACAAAGTAGTGGGGGGGAGTAAGGATAGGGAGGAAGGGAGGAGAGATGAGAAGGGAGGACAGAGCATGAGGAAGGGATGAGAGATGGGAGGATGGGAGAAGAGACGCGAACGGAAAGGAAGGGAAGGGAAGGGAAGGGAAGGGAAGGGAGGTGAGGGAAAGGTATTGGAAGGGAAGGGAAGGGAGACGAGGGAAAGGTAGGTGCAGGGAGGGAAGGGACAGGAAAGAAAGGTAAGCAAAGGAACGATAGGAATTGGAGGGGAATGACAGAAAAGGATGGGTAGTGGATTGGAGGGATGAGGAGGAATGCGCACTTCCCTTCCGTCACCCGCACCCGCCACATCTCTGCCTCTCGCACCCACGCTACTGCCATGGGGCTCATGCCACCTCACTCACCACTTGCTCAGTCACCGTTACCCGCACTCACCACTACCGGAGGGCGGAGAGGATGAGGTTGGAAGGGATGAGGAAAGGTGCTGGCACGTGAATGCGCGCATCTCGCGCACCTCATCAAGCGCGCAGCTGGCAGTTCTGTGGAGGTCACGGGGCTGCAGGCAAGGGTGGCGGAAGGGCGGAGGGGGAAAACCAAGAGAAAGTAGTGGGGAAATGGGGAAGAAAAAGGTGAAATGAGGGGAATGAGGGATGGGAATGAGGGCAAGGAGGGGGGAAATGGGTGGAAGGAGGGGGGGACATGAGGGAAAGAAGGGGGAGAGGGAAGGGAGGAGATAGAATGAGGGGAGAGAGGGGTTGGGGGAGATAGGAAGAGGGGGTGAGGGACAGGAGGGGATAGGAGGAGGAGGGTGAGGGCAAACAGGAGATGAGAAGAGAGGGGGGAGGGTATTGGGGCGAGGAGGAGAAGGAGGGTGGGAAGCAGTGGGGAGAGGGAAATGATGAGGTAGGAAGATGGGTGAGAGGGAATGTTGGAGAGGGATGGGGAGGCAGTGGGAAAGATGGGAGGCAAGGGGGCAGATGGGGAGGCAGGGGAGAGGGATGGGAAGGGAATAAGAGGACAGGGGAGAGGATGACAAGGGAGGAGGACAAGGGGGGAGAGGATGACAGGGGGGAGAGGGGAGGACAGGGGGGAGAGAGGAGGACAGGGGGGGAAGAGGATGAAAGGGGGGGAGAGAGGATGACAGAGGAGAGAGACGAGAACAGGGAGGGGAGGAGGACATGGGGGGGGGAAGGATGACAAGTGTGGGAGGAAGACAAGGGGAGGGGAGGATGACAGGGGGGAAAAGAGGAAGACAGGGGGGAGAGAGGATGACAGGGGGGAGAGAGGATGACAGAGGGGCGCGAGGGGAAGCGAGCAATGATAGAGGCGTGGATGGGTGGAAACGAGTGTGCGACGTGGGATGAGGGGGAAATGCGACGTGTGCGGAATGGGGTGTGCGTCGTGGGGCGGTATGGGGTGGGCGACGTTGGCGGCGAGGGTTGTGCGACATGAGGACAGGGGGGAGAGAAGAGGACAGGGGGGAGAGAAGAGGACAGGGGCGGGGATGAAAGTATGGGAGCGGGGATGAAAGTATGGGAGCGGGGATGAACGTATGACGGCGCGGATGAAAGTATGGGAGCGGGTAGGAAAGGATGAGAGCGGGGAGGAAAGGGAGGAGAGAGGAGGACAGGGGGGAGAGAGGAGGACAGGGGGCAGAGGGGTGGACAGGATAGGGGGGAGAGGGGAGGACAGGGAGGAGAGAAGGGAACAGGACAGGGGAAGAGAGGCGGGCAGAAAGGAGAGTGGGGAGGCGAGGCGGCGATGAGGTGGCGAGGTAACGGCGGAGGTGACACGGCCAGGATGGGAAGCAGCGCGGAGGCTACTTTGGCGAGGAGGCGTTAGGGTGAGGAGGATGAGACGAGGGCGGAGAGGCGGATTGCGCCGATGAGGCAACGTGGCGCGTAGGTTGCGACGTTCGCGATACGGCGAGGTAGCAGCGATGCTGCTACTTGACGTATGGGTCGCTCACATGGCGACGCGACGAGCTGGCGGATAGTCGCGGTGAGAATGCCGCAATGTGGCGAACAGACGAGGGCGGATTGGGAGATGCGACGAGGGCGGATTGGGAGATGCGACGAGGGCGGATTGGGAGATGCGACGAGGGCGGATTGGGAGATGCGACGAGGGCGGATTGGGAGATGCGACGAAGCGGATTAGGAGATGCGACGAGGGCGGATTGGGAGATGCGACGAGGGTGGATTGGGAGATGCGACGAGGGCGGATTGGGAGATGCGACGAGGCGGATTAGGAGATGCCGTCGGGGCGGATTGGGAGACGGAATGGGCGGTCCGGAATGAGTGTATCGCAATCATGCTCTATCCTTGGCCTCCCCGGGCTATTGTGAAACATCAACTTGTGCGCCCATTGTCGGGGTTCAGCTCACTACTTGCTGTGCTCTGTTCGCCACAGTCGCCTACGTCCAGGAGCGCGCATCGTGCTGTGTTAGGCTTTTCAGCGCGTGTTGCCAGGTCTGTAAGGGCGTTCTAGTGGATGGCGTGTGAAGTGAAGTTCAGTCTGGTTTAGAGCTTGAAGTGTGCGGTTCCGCGCTGCTTTTCTTTTCCTTCCGCCTTTCCTTCCCCCACCCAAACCCTTCTCACGAAATTGGTTGGACTCGCTATCCTTCTTCGCCTACGTCGCACCGGTGTTTGTAAATACGCTCACTTCGCTTCCCAATGAACACACGCCAAAGGGTTAGCACTACAAATGCCCCCAAAAAACCCCTTTTAGTATGTAGACCGCAGCTTTAAGGTTTCAGGTTTTATTAAAAGGTCGTAACCCAACTCGAGGGAAGGAGACACCACAAAACACAAGCGCGCTACCCTCTTCATCGCTATGGTATAGCTTCTTGATGACATAATCCTGTCCTTGGCTTGCCTGCCTCGCTTTTCCTCGTCGTCAAACCGCACGATGGAGGTCTGTCCTTCCAGGCTAGACGGAATGGCCGCAATTCACGCTCTTGTCGTCGAAGCGATTAGGTGCTGTGAATCTGGATCTAGGGATGAAGCAGATTCCAGATGCATAACTATCTCGCTAGCCAAAGTTGCTGGTGTCAATTCAGAAGATTATATCGAGACTTCAAAAGGAACATTTGCTATAAACCACACTGGAGAGCCTCTGGCTGACAAAAATCCCGCAACCTTCATCAATCGTCTACTTTCGTCTACTACCTTCCACCAGACGGCTGGGGCACTTGGTTTCCCACAGATAGCCTGGGGTGAGAACCCTACAAGATTTTGTTGCCCATCTGTAGCCAACAAAAGCATCTTTCTGTAGTTGTTGTTTGGGAGAATTATAAAACATCAAGTTTCCCGGCATCCCCTTTCCGCAGGTGCCTCCGTTGCTCTGATGACCACAGGTAAGTGTGTTGTGGGATTTTTCTGGTTTGAATCGATGAGAACAATCATGAGGGTGATTGCCACAGGAATTCACGACACCGACGTCAAGAGGTATGTTGTTGACATTCCAGATGAAGGTCAACCGACATGGTCTCAGCTCCCCTCAATTAGGAAGCCAGAGGGAGCCTACTTTTCTGGCTTTGAAGTTTCTTTCGATTTTCACGGAGTCGTAGAGGATGCTGCGTTGAGGCTCTACGAGCTTATTGGGATGGTACGTACACATTGTTATGGCACTGGTCGCGAATGCATTGATCAATACTGAAATGTCACTTTTGTGTTCAGGTGACCGTACTTCAGTCACAGGTACTCCAAATCGGTTTGCTGTTTCTTTGCTTGTGGCGTGAGTTACCACCTCATCCTCCATGACACGTTTCAGACTTCTATCAGCCTTACCTTGGGAAATTTCTGCAACGAGTTTCTGACGTTGATCCATGACTTACCATCCGCACCAAAAGAGGCCGCCCCTGGAGTGATACAGTTATCATATGCTCCAGATGACGAAGCCTTTGAGCTCAGCAGATTAGAAAGGTTCAAGGCAGGCGTGCTCCAGTCGTCGTTATTTGAACGTGAACACGGGTCAGGCTCAAAGCAGGGGCAGCCAAAGGCTGCTCCATGCGTCGCATCAGGCAGCACGACTCATCGCTCATGGAATCTGGACTGCGTTGCTTCGTATGAGGAAGGGTCAAAGGACGAAATTACGGTGAGTGAAAACGAGATTACAGGCCATAATCCTTTTCTGCCCTTTTTTTGAAGCATTAACGAGTGCTTTTTTACTTCCAGGTGAAGGTGTTCAAGGACTGGTCACCCGTTCTTGATGGATCCAGTTTCGTTATGACCTTGTCTGAAAGCAAGTTTTGGAGTGGTTTCGGAATTAGCATTGCGGATGCTGCAATTCACAGCTTTTTTGGTATTCTCCACACGGAGAAAAGTTATATGGAGAAGCACCTCAATATATATCTCCATCTGCACAGCCAACATATCTCATCGTATGTGCCTCGCTCCCATTCCCATGCTCACCCTCTCTTTTCTACGGATTGTTTTTGCTCGACTGGATTGTCGTGCTCTGCAAAATATCCCTCTTGAGGACTTCCCCCAAATCAGTGCAAAAACTGAAACCGTTCCGCGGAAGATCCTTTTGAAGCTTGTCAAGGATGCAGTAATTGCATCATTGCAACAGCTTAAGACCCAGCTTCCTGGGGAGTTTTCATCGATACATCAAGCAAAGGTAAACATGCAATGCCGTGTGTGTAGTATATTGTGGTCGAGTGGAGCAATTGATGATGACTTTGTCTTTTCAGGTTGGCAGTTGCTTGCCAGATCTGGCAACCAGCATTGCAGCTATAGTGGCGGATTCCAGCAATCCACATTTTCAAGAAGAGTGCTCCAACATACTGGCCGTTGAGGATGTCAAAGATGTTGAAGCTGCCATATTGCAAAGGTTGGGTATGATTTCACTGACACCTCAAAGTAGAGGGAAAATGCTGCCTTGCAAGCGTCAGCTGAAGATGGTAGATCAGATGGATGTAGAGTGGGCGCTTGATTGAGTCATAATAGCCATTCCTTTCCAGCATTGCTTCATTTACCACATTGTATGTAGGGGCAAACCACATTGCTCACAGCAACATTTGGAGACGTCAAGCTCTTGGAACGCGTAAGCGGTACACCAGACCAGAATGTAGAGTACTAGATCACTGCAAACAGCGAGTACAACAATGAGGACTGCTTTCAAGCCCCGGAAGACGGTTTTGGCTGACGCGGCAACCCACAGTTACACGTAGTTCAACCCACTGAAACGCGCTTCCTTCATGCTATTAACGAATCAGCTTCCTTCCCTCATTCTGGCGTTGATCTCATTGGCAGCATGTCACCGTCTTCGGTTGGATCTTCGGGTGTGGATCCACGTCACCTGCAATGAAATCAAGCTGGCATTTCACATGGGCAATCTGCGGCGCGCATTCGCAATGCTGCGGGGGAAGCTGGAGGGGTCTGCCAGAGGGAACCAGCACAGCGCAGTGCGGGGGATTTGGGCGCGAGGGTGCGGCGGAGCCTCGCATGACAGGGCGGAAAGGTGTTGAGAAATCGAGGCGGCTCGGGCAGTCAGAGCCAAGATTTCTGCTGTTCCCGTCCGTCAGGTCCACGGACCACAGGTTGCGGTTTTGCCCAGAGTTTCGAAAACCAAGCCCGTAACCACGGTCGTCGAAGCCAAATTTACCTGTGGCGAAGCTCGCCAAAGCGGCAATCTCATCTGAGTTTTCTCGCAGAGCACAATTCTTGTTGCTTGCGATTACAATCCGGGCAGCATGTGAGCGTGAAGAGTTTTCTTGGCTTCTCCGTGCAGCTCCTCACTTTCTCCCCCAGTTGAGTTTCTGTCCCCCAACAGCCGTAACGGAAGTTGATGGAGGCTCGTCCGAACATTACATGGAGTTGTTGAAACTCATGCACTAATTCAGTGTGGCTCCTCCGTCCATAATTCCAGCTTTAGTCTGTGTTCGTCTCTCCGCGTGTTGGTCGGAATCAACCTTTGTCGCGATAGGGTCAACGGGAGTTTCCTTGCTCTCCTCGGCGTCTCACAGGGGCTCCGGCTGAAACCTGAGCTCTCGCCTTTCAGATTCCGAAGTTCATAGCTTTTGCAATCGAAATTGAATTGCTCTATACGGCTCCACAGGACCTCACTCGCTATTCGCCATGAGCTGCCACACGTCTCCATCGTCTATTTTCTCCCCATCCTCTCTTTCCTCTGCAATTATCGCTCCCTCCTCCTCTCTCGTCCGTTCATCACTACCCCGTTCCTCTCCCCTTCCACGTCAGCTCAATTCTCACCTCACCTCGTCCTCGACCCGCTCCCATGCTGCGTCCTCCGTGTTTCACGGCGCGTTTGACGGCCTACACCGTCAGAAGCTCCCCAGCAGCCGCTCCTCCTCCTCTCTTTCTCACTCTGCGGCCTTCCATGAAGTTTCCGACCGTCAAATCCAGGCTCCATTTCTCTCCGCAGGCTCCGTCGACGCCGCGAACTGCGGCCGGCGCGCGGTCGTGACAGCAGTTTTCGAGCGTTTCACGGAGCGGGCGATTAAAGCCGTGATGATGGCTCAGGCGGAAGCTAAGGTGCTCGGGCGAAAAGAGGTCGCGACGGAGCAGCTCCTATTGGGTCTTATCGCGGAGGATTTCGCGAGCGGCGGGAAGCCCGGCGGATATCTCGGCTTGGGGATGACCATCCGCAGCGCACGGGGCGCCGTCGGCGAATTGATTCGAGACGGCCGGCTGCCAGCCGCGGGGGGTCTGCCGGCCGGCAAGCCGGCGTCAGAGGTGCCGTTTTCGAGCGGCAGCAAGCGGGTGTTTGAGAAGGCGCTGGAAGAATCGCGGAAGCATCGTCACAACTTCATTGCGCCGGAACATCTGGCGGTGGCGCTGGTGCAGGTGGAGCAGGAGGGAGCGGCGCTGGTGATGGCGAGGTGAGAAGAGTTGAGATGCAATGACTTTCCAGTTGACTTTGGAGTGAAGGGGTGAGCGTTAGTGACTGATTTCCCCCAACACGCGCATGGCAGTCGCGCTGGTGCAGGTGGAACAGGAGGGAGCGGCGCTGGTGATGGCGAGGTGAGAAGAATGCTCATCTGTAGGGTGGTAGAAACTTCACCTGAAGCGTCGCGTACAGCATCGTCTGGAGTAGGTAGCGGCAGTGTCTCACTCCCTTATCCGATTCACTCTCTCTGTCTGACGCTCCCCCTGTGTTGGCGTCATTGACTGTGTTGACTGGCTGGAGTGCAGCAGCATCGCCTGCACGAGGCAGCGTTGGCGCGCCTCAAGGGCGAGCTGGACCGGAATGGGCTCTTCTCTAACTCCCCCTCTCTCCCCTGTTGACTGCGTTGACTCTCTGTTGACTGCATTGACTGGCAGCCTGGGAGTGCAGCAGCATCGCTTGCACGAGACAGCACTGGCGCGGCTCAAGGGCGAGCTGGACCGCGACGGGCGCTCCTCAAATTCCCTCCCTCTCCCCTGTTGACTGCGTTGACTCTCTGTGTTGACGGCAGCCTGGGAGTGCAGCAGCACCGTTTGCACGAGGCAGCGTTGGCGCGGCTCAAGGGCGAGCTGGACCGCGACGGGCGCTCCTCCGAGTCCATCACCAACCCCTCCTCTCGGCCTTCCACCAGCAGTAGCAGTGCCACTAGCAGCAAGGGCCCCTCCTCGCCAGTGCGCAAGGGACGCGGAAAGAAAGGTAAGAGAAGGGGCTTGTTTGGGTGGGGTGGGTGGGTTGGTGGGTGCTCTTCTCTAGTGGGCTGCTCTTGGGTGTTTGTCTTGGTTGGCGCGGCTCAAGGGCGAGCTGGACCGGGACGGGCGCTCCTCCGAGTCCATCACCAACCCCTCCTCTCGGCCTTCTGCCAGCACCAGCAGCAATCCCACTAGCAGAAACGGTCCCAGCTTCCCAGGTCGCAAACGGCGCGTGAAGAAAAGTACGAGGAAGTGTTGTGGTGGGTGGGGATGGGCGCCCCCCCAAGACCATCACCAACCCCTCCTCTCGGCCTTCTGCCAGACCCAGCAGTACCACTAGCAGCAAGGGTCCCAGCTCGCCAGCGCGCAAGGGGCGCGGGAAGACAGGTACGAGAGTCTTGGTGTGATGGGGTGGGTGTGTTGTTCTATGGCGCGGCTCAAGGGCGAGCTGGACCAGGATGGGCGCTCTTGTGATCCGATCACAAACCCCTCCTCTCGGCCGTCCTCTAGCGAGTTCCCCAGGCCGCAAGCGATGCGGGAAAGGTGAGAAAGCAAAACGACTTTCTTGTGTTGCTGTGACTCAAGGGCGAATCGGACAAGGCTACAAGTGCGCAAGCAACAGGATAGAGTAAGTTTTTTTAGAATTCTCAAAAACATACACCGCAAGCAACAGGATAGAGATGAATGAGCAGATTCGTGATAGTCGATCTTTACTTACCAATCTCTGATGGAACCAGAAAAGAAAGAAGTGCTTGTTCCGATCGGCTCACGTGCTAAGGACATTCCTTGAGCTTGCCTTGTGTGACCCGTTCTCCCCTCCGCAGCAACTGACCCGTTCTCCCCTCCGCAGCAACTGACCCGTTCTCCCATCCGCAGCAACTGACCCGTTCTCCCATCCGCAGCAACTGACCCGTTCTCCTATCCGCAGCAACTGACCCGTTCTCCCATCCGCAGCAACTGACCCGTTCTCCCATCCGCAGCAACTGACCCGTTCTCCCCTCCGCAGCAACTGACCCGTTCTTCCATCCGCAGCAACTGACCCGTTCTCCCCTCCGCAGCAACTGACCCGTTCTCCCATCCGCAGCAACTGACCCGTTCTCCCCTCCGCAGCAACTGACCCGTTCTCCCATCCGCAGCAACTGACCCGTTCTCCCCTCCGCAGCAACTGACCCGTTCTCCCCTCCGCAGCAACTGACCCGTTCTCCCCTCCGCAGCAACTGACCCGTTCTCCCCTCCGCAGCAACTGACCCGTTCTCCCCTCCGCAGCAACTGACCCGTTCTCCCCTCCGCAGCAACTGACCCGTTCTCCCCTCCGCAGCAACTGACCCGTTCTCCCCTCCGCAGCAACTGACCCGTTCTCCCCTCCGCAGCAACTGACCCGTTCTCCCCTCCGCAGCAACTGACCCGTTCTCCCCTCCGCAGCAACTGACCCGTTCTCCCCTCCGCAGCAACTGACCCGTTCTCCCCTCCGCAGCAACTGACCCGTTCTCCCCTCCGCAGCAACTGACCCGTTCTCCCCTCCGCAGCAACTGACCCGTTCTCCCCTCCGCAGCAACTGACCCGTTCTCCCCTCCGCAGCAACTGACCCGTTCTCCCCTTTTCTGGTTCCCTTTTTGAGGCGCCCCAAAAATCAGTTGCGGCCACTTTCTGGTTCCCCATGCACGGAGATGTAACGGCCATGCCATGGCAGTGCAGGGAGGTGAAGGACCCCGGCAGTGACCCCTTAACATCTTGTCGCTGCTTTTCTGCGTTTCCGTTACTCTCTAGATCGTATCGTCTCCCCTGCAGCACCGCAGCAGCGCGCGTTCTAGCAGTTCTTCATGGCCCTAACAGCCATGGCGGTGCAGGGAGGTGAAGGGTCCTAAAAGATTCCCTCCTTCCATTCCCCCTCTCCTCACATGCAGCAGCGCAGCAGAGTGCTCTGAAGCAGTTCTGCACGGATCTAACGGCCATGGCGGTGCAGGGAGAGGTTGACCCTGTTACAGGGACTTCATTACTCCATTGCTGTCCCCTCGTTTCCTCCACGTCTCTCTGCAACCCCCCCTCGCAACCAGCAGCGCAGCAGAGCGCGTTGGAGCAGTTCTGCACGGATCTAACGGCCATGGCAGTGCAGGGAGGGTTCGACCCGGTGATTGGCCGAGAGGCGGAGGTTGCCAGGGTGATGCAGGTGCGTGCTTGTGTTGTGCTTTGAGTGTAACGGGGATAGTGGATGGTGGGTGCACCTAACGACCATGGCAGTGCAGGGAGATACCGGCCCTGTAATTGGCCGAGAGGAGGAGGTCGCGCCGGTGGTGCAGGTGCGCGGTGGTGCAGGTGCGCGGTGGTGCAGGTGCGTTCTTGTGTTGAGATGTTGCCACGAAGCACCTCTGACTGACACCTCCCAAAGCATCAACAAGATCAAACTCGTTGCTCAAGAGTCGGTTAACACTTTCACGTGTCCTCCGAGAGCCTCTTCTCTCCATATTCCTTGGATTTTTCGAGCGTCTCTTGATTCCGCTATTCAGCGTGCCATAAAAGGTAACAGAATAGGTGTACAACAGCATTCACGGCTCACTAGTATCTAGCGTTGTGTGCCGAGTATCCGCCAGTGGAATGCCGTTTGAATAGCAGTGGCGATGCATCAGTCGTGAATGCTGCTGGTCACCCATTCTGCTACGTTCATGGCACGCTGAAGAGCGGATTCGGGACACTCTCGAGAAAGCCAATGAATATAGAGGAGAGAGGTTTTCGGAGAATACGTAAGAGTGCTAACTAATTCTTTTTGTGAAAAGAATCTGGTCTCATTGACGGTCTTGGGGATTTTCGGGCTTTAACGTTTGACGACCTTGGGTTGGTTGTTGTCGAGGTGGAGATGAGCTCGATGAGAAATACAGAGCCTTAAAGACCCTTATATTTTGGAAAAAACAAAAGGCAAAGGGCTCAGGGCAAAGAGCAAAGGTCACAGAGCTAACTGTTCTCTTGCTCTCGCACCTAGAACAAAGCGCTGCTGCTAAGAGAGCCATGTTGGGCAGAGAAGGCGTCTGCACTCCTGACCCAACAGTTCGTGCCTCCCTTCCCTCCTCACCACTTGGTAATCTTCCCCTCCCATTTCTCCCCTTCTGATCCCCATCTATTTCTCGCTCGTCACACCAAGAACAAACCTCTGCTGCTAGGCAAACCAGGAATGGGAAATAATCCTAGAACTCTTTTTTTTTGCTCAACTGTTTGCCCCTTCTTCCGCTCCTCTCCAGTCGCACCATTCCTTCCTCCCACCTTCCACCTCTCAAGTTCCCTTCATTCCTCTCAGATCCTCGCCCATCGCACCAACAACAACCCTCTGCTGCTGTAAAAACCGGGGGTGGGCAAGACTTGTCCAACCATTCGCCCCTTCCTTCCCCTCTCACAACTCTTCACTTGCCCCACTCCCAATTCTCCCCATTCTGCCCCCGGATCCCCTTTTGAGTCGACTCAAAAGACTCCCCGCTCCTCGCACCAAAAACAATCCGCTGCTGCCAGGCGAAGCGGGGTGGGAGAGACGGCTTTAGACTGCCCTCTTATTGACCAAACTATTTTTTCCCCTTTCGGCTCTTCCACCTCTCCCCTCTTCCTCCTCCTCAGATGCTCGCACGCCGCACCGAGAACGACCCTCTGATCCAACCATTCCGTTCCTTCCCTCTCTACCACTCGTCAACCCCCCCACTGCCACTCACTTTCCTCCCGCCTCTCACCTCTCCCATTCTCCCCCTCCTCAGATCCTCGCGCGTCGCACCAAGAGCAACCCTCTGCTGCTGGGGGAGCCAGGGGTGGGCAAGACGGCCATAGCAGAGGGGTTGGCGCTGAGAATTGCAGAGAACGACGTGCCGCAGTTCCTGCAGGTGAGGTGGTGTTGTGCTGGGTTGGAAATGGGGTAGCAGGCAGGGGGGGCTACGGTGCCCAGCCTGGGATGGGCAAGACGGCCATGAGGGGCCATGGGGATGAGGGGCCATGGGGATGAGGGGCCATGGGGATGAGGGGCCATGGGGATGAGGGGCCATGGGGATGAGGGGCCATGGGGAGGGTGATGGCGGAAGCAAAGGGGCGGGGCGAGTTAGAGCTGAGAGCGACAGCATTGGTGGCAGCGGCGAGTGACAGTGGTGAGTGGCAGCGGCGAGTGGCAGCGGCGGGGGAGGTGGTGCTGGGGATAGATGAGGCGGACATGGCATGATGCTGGGATGGTCCTCCCAACTCCAATGGTCTGTCTCTTCCCCTTCCCCCCTCCTCCCTCTTTCACACCAGGGCAAGCACTGGTGGACATGGTATGATGCTGCTGGTATGATGAGGGAGGTGGTGCTGGGGATATATGAGGCGGACATGGCATGATGCTGGGATGGTTCTCTCAACTCCAATGGTCTGTCTCTTCCCCTTCCCCCCTCTCCCTCTCCCTCTTTCAATCAGGGCAAGCGCCTGTTGTCGCTGGACATGGGGAGGGTGATGGCAGGAGCCAAGGAGAGGGGCGAGCTAGAGCTCAGAGTCACATCTTTGGTGGCAGAGGCGGTGGCAGCAGTGGGGGAGGTGATTCTTGTGATAGACGAGGTGCATACGATGGTGGGAGCTGGCGCTGTGGGGAGGGGCAGGGACGGCGGAGGATCGGGGTTGGACATCTCGAATCTGCTCAAGCCTGCCTTGTCCCGAGGGCAGATTCAGGTGAGAAAGTTAGCGGTTGAGTGCGATTGAGAGTGGTAGTCCAGTGGTGCTGGGTAACCAAGGTGGTGTTGGATATCTCGAACTTGCTCAAGCCTTCCTTGTCACGGGGACAGCTTCAGGTGAGGGACAGAGCGTTTGAGTGCGGTGAAATAGGTGAAGCAGTTGGAGAGATTATGGATGGAATGCAGTGGAATGCAGTGGAATGCGGTGGAATGCGGTGATGTAAGATAGGAATGTGGTGCTGTTTTTCCACATCACCTCGAGAAAGGAATGGCTCTTGCCAACATCACCCTGACCTTCTTGGCAAGAATGTGGAGGTTGTCTTTGAGAACTCTCAAAATCAACCTGCAACATCACCCTGACCTTCTTGGCTTTGTATGTACTCCTCGAGTTTCGTTGCCAGAACCGTGACATGCGAGTTGCTTTTGAGTCGACTCAAGGCTCTGGAGAGGAACAAGGCTCTATCCTGCTCCGCCCTCTCCCCTCCGGTCTCCCTCCCCCTCTCCCACCGACTCTTCTGCTTCCCCCCTCGTTAGTGCATCGCTACAACAACCACCAGCGAGTACCGCAAGGTGCAAGCACCTGAAAGTCAAGGCTCTAGCCTCGCATCCATCCAGCACCTGAAAGTCAAGGCTCTAGCCTCGCATCCATCCAGCACCTGAAAGTCAAGGCTCTAGCCTCGCATCCATCCAGCACCTGCAAGTCAAGGCTCTAGCCTCGCATCCATCCAGCACCTGAAAGTCAAGGCTCTAGCCTCGCATCCATCCAGCACCTGAAAGTCAAGGCTCTAGCCTCGCATCCATCCAGCACCTGCAAGTCAAGGCTCTAGCCTCGCATCCATCCAGCACCTGAAAGTCAAGGCTCTAGCCTCGCATCCATCCAGCACCTGAAAGTCAAGGCTCTAGCCTCGCATCCATCCAGCACCTGAAAGTCAAGGCTCTAGCCTCGCATCCATCCAGCACCTGAAAGTCAAGGCTCTAGCCTCGCATCCATCCAGCACCTGAAAGTCAAGGCTCTAGCCTCGCATCCATCCAGCACCTTACCACCATCCCATTCCTTCTTTCCTCGTCTCCTACCTACCCCCCCCCCCCCCCCCTTCATATCAGTGCATCGCCACCACCAGCACTGACGAGTTTCGCAAGCACCTGGAGAAGGACAAGGCACTGGCTTCGCATCTAGTGCACTACGCCTACCACTTACCCCCCACCCCTGTGTCCCCCTCCTCCCCCCCCATCTCAGTGCGTCGCCCCCACCAGCACTAACGAGTTTCGCACCACCACCACCAGCACCTGCAAGCACCTGGAGAAGAACAAGGCTCACACCATACCACAGCCTTGATTCTATTCAGCGCCTTACATCTTCCCATTCCCCTCTCCTCCTCTCCTTTCCCCCGTCTATCAGTGCGTCGCCACCACCACCTCGAGAAGGACAAGGCTTTGGCTCAACGTCTGGTGCTTACCCCCCCCTTCACCGCACCGCCTTCCCTCTCTTCGCTTCCCCTCCCCTCCCTATCAGTGCATCGCCACTACCACCACCAGCGAGTTCCGCAAGCACATGGAAAAGGACAAGGCTCTGGCTAGGCGCTTTCAGCCAGTGACGGTGGACGAGCCTTCAGAGGTGAGTGGGTGGCTCTTATAGCACGGATGCCATATGTTTGGTGTGGTTTTCTGTGGGCGAGAAGGACAAGAAATTGGCCAGGCGCTTTCAGCCGGCCACTGTGGACGAGCCTTCAGAGGTGAGAAGGATGCTCTTATAACACGGATGGGATGGGATGGGATGGGATGGGATGGGATGGGATGGGATGGGATGGGATGGGATGGGATGGGATGGGATGGGATGGGATGGTTTGTGCTATGGTAAGGGTGAGAGGGGCAATGCACTGGCCAGACGGTGTCAGCCGGTGACTGTGGACGAACCATCAGATTTGAGAGGGGGGGCTGCATCTTGTAACGGGATGGGATGAGTTGGTATATCAGAATTGACGACGAGGCTCTGGGATGGCTTGATCTTTACACGCTCAGTTGACTTTTGAGCCGACTCATGAGTTGGTATATGAAAAGGGACGACGCGGCTCTGGGATGGCTTGAACTTCACACGCTCAGCATGTTCCACACCCTTCCCAGGAAGTTGCCTTAGCCATCTCACTATATGAGGCCACCCCAAGTGCCCTCTCATTGACCATGCTCTCATGCCTGCTGTCACCCTCTCCTCGCGCTTCATCCCCGACCGCTGCCTGCCTGACAGGGCCTCTGACCTGATGGACGAGGCGGCCGGTAGGATGTCTCACAGTACCACCCCTTTGTGCCTTCTCTCCCTCCCTCTCCTCGCACTCTCCTCCCTTTCCCTCCCTTACCCTTCACTCCTCCCAGGAAGCGGCTCTGGCGATTCTACACGGGCTGAGGCCCCTATACGAGGCACACCACAAGTGCATTCTCAGTGACTCCGCCCTGGCAGCAGCCGTCACCCTTTCTGCTCGCTACATCCCCGACCGCTGCCTGCCCGATAAGGCCATTGATTTGATCGACGAGGCGGCCAGTAGGAGCAGGGTGGAGGGCAGTAAGGGGAGGAGGCGGCGCGCTAGTGGGGTGCTGGAGAGGGGGGCGGAGGAGTACTGGCGGGAGATTCGCATGGCTCAGGCTGCGCACGAAGCGGTGAGTGTAGTTATGATGTGGTGGAAATGGGTTTCATTGGTCTAGATTGGGTTGTTCTTGGATTAAGTGCGTCAAAGCGGGCGGGCTAGTGGGGTGCTGGAGAGGGGGACGGAGGAGTACTGGCGGGAAATTCGCATGGTGTAGGCTGCACATGAAGCGGTGAGAATGGGTGCAATGCGGGGAGAGTGGGAAGCAGCTGCGGTGGGAAGCAGCTGCGGTGGGAAGCAGCTGCGGCTGCTGCTTCTCATTTTCCCTCCCCGTTTGTCTATTGCCACCCATCCCCCACTTTCTCCTCCTTCCAGCCGTCTCCCTGGTCCTTATCACTTTCTCCTCCTTCCGTCTCCCTGGTCCTTATCACTTTCTCCTCCTTCCGTCTCCCTGGTCCTTATCACTTCCTCTCCCCTTGCAGGCACATGCTCGTCAGAACCCCTTCACCTCGCTCACCTCCTTCCTCTCCCATGACTCTCACACCCACCCCGACACCACCACCACTGCTGCTGACGCCTCTGCTGCTGCTCGTCCCCTCTCCTCGTTCCCAACCCTGTGATGTCTCTCTCCTTGCAGGCCCATGCGCGCCAGAACCCCTTCACCTCGCTCACCTCCTTCCTCTCTCAAGACACCCACGTCGCCGACACCACCACCGCTGCTGATGCCGCTGTTGCTGCTGGTCGATCCAAGAGTGGAATCACTGGCAGTGACAAGGACGACAGGTGAGGGTCCATCATCTTAATCTCTCACACACACACCCACACACACACACACACACACACCCACACACACACACACACACACACACCCACACACACACACACACACACACACACACACACACCCCCACACACACGCACACACACACCCACACACACGCACACGCACACGCTGACACACCATCATGTGACTCCCACAATTAGCCACACCCACACCCACACACGCTGACACAGCATCATGTGACTCCCACAATTAGCCACACCCACATCAACACCACCAGCGCTTCTGAACGCTGCTGCTGCTGGTCGATCCAAGGCCGGCAGCAGTGGCAGTGACAAGGACGACAGGAGGACAGGAGGACAGGAGGACAGGAGGACAGGAGGACAGGAGGACAGGAGGACAGGAGGACAGGAGGACAGGAGGACAGGAGGACAGGAGGACAGGAGGACAGGAGGACAGGAGGACAGGAGGACAGGAGGACAGGAGGACAGGAGGACAGGAGGACAGTAGGACAGTAGGACAGGAGGACAGGAGGACAGGAGGACAGGAGGACAGTAGGACAGTAGGACAGGAGGACAGGAGGACAGGAGGACAGTAGCCGCCCACTGGACCAGCATTCCCCTCAATTCCCTCCAACATTTTACTCTTCCTCCCCATTTCTCCTCCCTCTACACCCTCCCCTCCCTACTCCAGCCCCACGGAGATCACAGCAGAGCACATAGCAGCAGTGGCCGCCCACTGGACCGGCATTCCCCTGCAGCAGCTCTCGCTCTCGGACCAGCAGCACCTGGCAGGCCTGGAAGAGGCACTAGAGACGCGCGTGGTGGGGCAGGGGACGGCGGTGAGGGTGATAGCACGGGCGGTGCAGCGAGCACGGGTAGGGTTGAAGGGGGAGGGGAGGCCGGTGGCGGCTCTGCTGTTCTCAGGGCCTACCGGGGTGGGCAAGACTGAGCTGTGCAAGGCACTGGCGGCTCACTACTATGGATCGGTGAGTAGCAGTGGGTGCGGTGGAGAACGGTGAAAAAGGTTTAGTTACGGGGCAGTGTGCAAGGGTGGGGCTGAACTGAAGGGGGAGAGGAGGCCCCGGTGGCAGCTCTGCTGTTGTTCTCGGGACCCGACCCACTGGGGTGGGGGGAAGACTGAACTGCGCAAGGCACTCGCGGCACATTACTGTGGATCGGTGAGTAGGTGTGGATTGCGGTGCGGTAAGAAGGATCGATTCCTGTGCGGTGCGGTGTGGTGCGGTGTGGTTCGGTGGATCCGTCTAGACACGCCTGAGTTCATGGAGCGCCCCGCCGTTAGCAAGTTGATGGGAGGGAGGGAGCATGTGCCCGCCATGTCCAATATAAGCCCGCTCACTCGTGCCCCACTTCCCATCCCTATCCAGGAGGACGCCATGATTCGTCTCGACATGAGCGAGTACATGGAGCGCCGCACTGTCAGCAAGCTGACTGGATATATGGGCTCACCTGCATTGAGGCGCCTCAAAAACGACCTCAGATATGGGCTCACCTGCCCCGCTCTTGTGCTCTCCCCTGTTCCATCCCCTATCCCATTCAGGAGGACTCCCTGATTCGCCTCGACATGAGCGAGCGCCACGCTGTCAGCAAGCTGGTTGCACGTATGAGCTCGCAGTGAGCAAGCCTGCTGAATGCAGGGGCTCTCACCTGCTCCTCTTCTCCTCTCCCGTGTTCCATCCCTACACTCTTTCAGAGTGAAAGAGGACTCTATGATCCAATTAGATATGTCCGAGTACATGGAGCGCCACGCTGTCCGCAAGTTGAATGATTGTGTGGGCTCAAATACCCCTCTTGTGCTCAACTACCCCTCTTGTGCTCAACTACCCCTCTTGTGCTCAACTACCCCTCTATGTATCCCATCCCTTTCCGTCCCCACATCCCATCCCTTTCCCTCCCCACATCCCATCCCTTTCCGTCCCCACATCCCATCCCTTTCCCTCCCCACATCCCATCCCTTTCCCTCCCCACATCCCATCCCTTTCCGTCCCCACATTCCATCCCTTTCCGTCCCCACATCCCATCCCTTTCCCTCCCCACATCCCATCCCTTTCCCTCCCCACATCCCATCCCTTTCCGTCCCCACATCCCATCCCTTTCCGTCCCCACATCCCATCCCTTTCCGTCCCCACATCCCATCCCTTTCCCTCCCCACATCCCATCCCTTTCCGTCCCCACATCCCATCCCTTTCCCTCCCCACATCCCATCCCTTTCCCTCCCCACATCCCATCCCTTTCCCTCCCCACATCCCATCCCTTTCCGTCCCCACATCCCATCCCTTTCCGTCCCCACATCCCATCCCTATCCAGGAGGACTCTATGATCCGCCTAGACATGTCAGAGTACATGGAGCGCCATGCTGTCAACAAGCTGATCGGTGCGCCGCCCGGCTATGTGGGGTACGGGGAGGGCGGCAAGCTCACGGAGGCCGTCCGCAGGTGGCCGTTTTGTCTTATTCTCCTGGACGAGATCGAGAAGGCCCACCCCGATGTCTTTAATCTACTGCTACAGATATTTGAAGACGGACGGCTTACCGACTCGCAGGTAAGCTTGTCGTTGTGAAGGTACTGCAAATCTCTTAAAGCCTCTTAAATTTTCATATTTTGCTAGCTCTTCCAGAACTATAGGACTTGTCAACGTCGCTGGCCTTCTAGCCCCCTTTCCCCTCCCTTTCTCCCCCTCCCCACTTTCCCCTCTCCTCCCCTTCCCCGCTGCCGTCCGTATTAACCAATCCAGGGCCGCCATGTGTCGTTCAAAAACGCCCTGATAGTCCTGACGTCCAACGTGGGCTCTCAGGCCATCGCAAGAGGCGGCACCCACCGCATCGGCTTCCTCACTCCAAGGGATTACAGGGCTGGAGATGGCGATGTGGGGAGAGAAGGACGGGCGGATGCGGGGCGATATGCGGCGATGAAAGAGGTGGTGATGGAGGAGTTGAAGGCGCACTTTCGGCCGGAGCTGATGAACCGCATCGATGAGGTGGTGGTGTTCCGAGCCCTTGAAAGGGAGCAGGTGAGCATGGGGTTAGAGGGAGCAGGCGAGTGTGGGCGATAGAGGGAGCAGGTGAGCATGGGGTTAGAGAGAGCAGGTGAGCATGGGATTAGAGGGAGCAGGTGGGTGTGGGCGATAGAGAATGGGGGGTGTGTGCGTGCAACGCACGAGATGAAAGAGGTGGTGGTGGAGGAGACGAAGGCTCACTTTCGACCAGAGCTGATTTTTTGAGACGTCTCAAAACAGTCTCACTTTCGGCCAGAGCTGATGAATTGAATTGATGAGGTTGTGGCGCTCCGGGCACTGGGGAAAGAGCAGGTGAGATAAGAGAGAAGGTGGGATCAGGGGTGTGTGTATGCGTGTGTATAGGGGAGAGTGGGTGATAGGAATGGGGAGAGGGTGGAGACGCCCTTTCTGGCCAGAGCTGATGAATCGGATTGACGAGGTGGTGGTGCTCCGGGCGCTGGAGAGGGAGCAATTGGTATGTAGCTAACAAAGTCGTGGTGCTCGGGTACAAGTTCCTTTGTTCCGTTGTTCAATTGGATCTCTTTGTTTGTTCGTTCTCGTTTTTCCAAACCCACCAGATCCGAGTGATTGCCAGCATGATGGTGAAGGAGTCGGCTGACCGTTTGGCGCTGAAAGGGATCAATCTGGAAGTTTCAGAGGCGCTGATGGAGCGAATCTGTGAGGAGGGGTATGACAGGGCGTATGGGGCCCGCCCGCTGCGACGTGCCGTCACGCGATTGGTCGACGATCCAATCAGCGAGGCTGTGCTGGCCGCCGAGGGGAGCAGCAGCCGTCACCACCGCCACGTCAGCAGCAGCGACAGCCACGTCAACAGCAGTGACATGTCAGAATCCCTGCCATCCGTTCCTTCCGTGCTGCTTCCTGTAATCGCAGCTGATGCTGCAGCGGATGATGTCAGCAAACCCTTGTCTGACGTCAGCGGGGTCAGGGAGGGCGCGTTCACAGCTGGCGACACGGCATTGGTGGATGTGGGGCAGGATGGGGAGCCCGTGGTGATTCGACTGCCTCGCCCTGACGTGTGCGAGATGGGGCTGTGCCTTCCCTTCCTCAAGCTGCCTGCTCCTGCTGCTCCCACCCTCTCCCTCCCGGACTAAGGAGCGTGTAACAATAGCAGTGTGTCTTCCTTCCCAGCTGCCTGCTCCTGCTGCTGTTTCTCTCTCCCTCCCTGATAGCTCCCTCCCTGACTAAAGGGCAAGGATCAGATCAGGTGTCTCACCCAAGGTGTGTACAAATCCTTGGGTTTCAGGTTTTAAGGCTCAATCTGCCCAAGGGCTCAACCGATGGTGGTTGCAGCAGATGGGGTGGGGAGGAAGGAATACGAGGCAGTGGTAGATAAATGGTTGGGTGGTTGTGGGTAATTGGGATGGAGGCCGTATATAATGGTTGATGTGCAAGGGAGGGGCAAAATCGCTGACTTTATATGTTGGTGAAGTGAGGATGCAGTGTTCGGTACATAAATGATGTTGACAAAATAGTAGCTAAGACTAAGAAGCCATAGCTAGGTTTAGGGTACACGAAAGAGAAGTGCAAGCAGTAGAAGAGGAAAGATGATTGAACTAGAAAGAAGCGGAGTACAAATAGCAAGCCCAAAAGGGTTATACTCACTATTGAGTACCCCACTACAGACTAGACAAGCATTATGTTCTGACACACCCCCATAGTCAAGGTGGGGTACAGCCAGCACAACAAGCATTCAGAGCAGTAGATCATAGTGATAAGCAAAGGCTAGAGACTAACACAGAGGGCAAGCGAGGAGGATGATGTGGGGGGCGATCTGCTGCAGGCGACGGGCGAAGCTGCAGACACAACGGGCAACAGGAGCGGCGCGCACAGTGGCTACCGAGCGCACGAGGGCACTGGACTACGGGGGTTATCAGGCTCCGCGGCTACGAGGAGCGGCAGGAGCAACAGACCCACAGGCGACTGGCACAGCAGGCTCGCTGGGCTACCGAGAGCACGAGGGCTCCGGACTACAGGCACTGCAGACGACATGACTGCGACCTCCGCTCACCCCCCCCTGTCAGTCCCACACCCCCCTATCACACACCCCTTTGCTGCATCCCTAGCCCCACTCACACGCCACCCCCACTTAAACCCTAAACCCTCGGCTCCCACACATCCACCCCCCTCAGCGGCAGCTGCAGCAGTGGGAGACGAAGGAGGAGGAGGAGCAGGGGACGGAGCACACAACCAGCACCCCCATACGCGCCACCCCCACACGCGCCACCCCCAAACCCTAACAGAGGCAGCAGCGGGGGGGAGGGGGGGGGCGATCCGTGAGCGATTCGGGGGACGGCGGGCGGCTCCCCAGGGCGCCACGACGGGGCAGCGGGAGGGGGGCGAGCGCGGCTCCCAGGGCGCCTCGACGGGGCAGCGGGGGTCGTGCGCGCGGCTCCCCAGGGCGCCGCGACGGGGCAGCGGGGGGTCGCGCGCGGCTCCCCAGGGCGCCGCGACGCGGCTGCGGGGTCGCGCGCGGCTCCCCAGGGCGCCGCGACATGGCTGCGGGGTCGCGCGCGGCTCCCCAGGGCGCCGCGACGTGGCTGCGGGGCCGCGCGCGGCTCCCCAGGGCGCCGCGACGGGGCAGCGGGGGTGACGGGCGGGTCTGCTGCAGGCGACGGGGGGGTGGGGGGGGCGCTTCGACGGAGCAGCGAACCGCCGCGCAACCCGAACGCGCGGCGGGAAGAAAAATAAGACGGCGCGCGACAGACAGGAAAGCAGCGGAAGCACGTGGGGCCCACAGGCCAAGAGCAGAACCGCTCTGATTCCATGACAAAATAGTAGCTAAGACTAAGAAGCCATAGCTAGGTTTAGGGTACACGAAAGAGAAGTGCAAGCAGTAGAAGAGGAAAGATGATTGAACTAGAAAGAAGCGGAGTACAAATAGCAAGCCCAAAAGGGTTATACTCACTATTGAGTACCCCACTACAGACTAGACAAGCATTATGTTCTGACAGATGTGTGTGTGGTGGTCGGTTTGTGCTGTGCATTGTAGGAGAGCGGCACATGATGGTTATAATCATTGAATTATGAAACTCAAATTGGAGGTGCTGTGTGTTTTCTGGCATTCGTTTATGCACTCTCAGATGCGCTACCCGTTTTTTTTTTTTTTAATAAATTCTGTAGGGATGTCTTGGAGAACCACATTTCTTTATTACTTTGCCTAGGGCCGCCTTGTTGTAGAATGGATTATTAACCCTCTAAAGAGGATTAAGTAGGATTTAGCGAAGATTCGTTGTAGGGAAGCGTCGGGTGTCGAGGATCTGAGCATTGAAGACGGGGGTGGTGTTTCACCCTAACCCCCATGCCCAATCCTCCCATCACCAATCCATCCACCGTAGCGCACGGCGTAGCTTGCGGCTAACCAAACGCAGGGAGGATAGAGCGGGAAAACTTTAGCAAAACATGTTCGCGTGACGATGCACTATGTCTCTAAAGCAAGAGAGCTAAAGAGCAGAAGGGTCTTGACCAGCCACTCTCGATAACGAGGTAGCCATTCCATATCCCAATCTCTAGCCGCCTCGCTAACCGTCATGATCCGATCGTACGCCGTCGCCATCGCGTCGCTACTAGCTGGAGCATCTTTCGTCCACAACATATACAAGCCAGACCTGGTAAAGACCGCATTGGCCGTCAGGACTCGGTGTTGACCGCATTGACCGCACTGACCGTCAGGTCTTTGTAACTACTGCAGTGCCGTCAGGTCTTTTAGGATTATTCAGCAATATTACGCAACATTGCGGAATGGAGAGACAGCTAGTAACAATATGCCAGTTTTGCCCTTGAATGAGAAGGGGGAGTGATGTTTTCGCAATCCAGAATTTTAGTGTTGCTTTTATTGTAGTACCGGTATCTCACTTCCCCCGAATCCTTCGTCAACTGTTAATTTCTGTCCTCCTGTCCACCCTATTCCTGTCAGACTATACCTGGCGCTGTCAGCGGCGGTGGAGGAGCGGAAAACGCGGAGGCTGGGAAGGAAGAGGGGGACGAAGAGCCGAGCGCTCGGGGAAATACCGAGGTGACCGCGAATTCAGCTGCAGCAGTTCGGGAGGATAATAAAAAACGTGCAGTGGTGTAGAAGTAGTTACTTATAAATTGGGGACAAGCTTGTTGAGATCAATTTATTTTCATCATCCCAAATTAGACAAAACTATGGGCAAAGAATGTGACCCTGTTTCTTAACAGCGATGCGATTTCTAACATTTGAATCAAAAAACTCCTCGAATTCATCTGGACACCCATTGGCCGAGGAGGTCTTGAGTGGTGCGCCAGAGAGTGTTGGAGAGAAATGTGTCACGAGCAAGTCGGGAGGGCAAAAGCGGGGTTGCTTGGGTTCCAAACAGGTACTTCCCTGCTACTTGTTCCTGAAATCTCAAGGAAATGGAAGGAGAAATAGAAGTGTTATATCGAGTGAAGGCACCGTAAGATAGTGGAAAGTGATGGGTTGCAGTGGGAATCTCTACTGGGGCGCAGTGGAGGAATGGGGAAGAGAGGGACGAGGGCGTACGGGAGCAAGAGGATGTATTGATAGAATACTTGGGAAGTTGCATAAGGACTGATACGAATGGGAGGGAGCCAAAAGAGCTTACTGGGTGTTCTGTGGCGGCGAGGAGGAAGAGAGGGACGAGGGCGCCAGGGAGGTAGAGAAGATTGCTTGAGTTATGAAAAAGCCAAAGTCAACCAAAGTCAAAAAGCTAACCTGGGGGGCAGTGGCGGCGCGGAGGAAGAGAGGGACGAGGGCGCGAGGGAGCAAACAGAGGCCGAGGAGGGAGAAGATGGTGTTGACCGTGGCTGCGAGGAAGGAGGGCAGCTCCCTCAGAACAGCAGTGCGCACCATGCCGGGGTCTATGGGTCTGGATAGGGTGGGAACAATGGGAAGGGAGCAAAGAGAGGCCGAGGAGGGAGAAGATGGTGTTGACCGTGGCTGCGAGGAAGGCTGGCAGCTCCCTCAACACAGCAGTGCGCACCATGCCAGGGTCTATGGGGCTGGAAGGGGGGCAGTATAGGGAAGAGGGCACACACAGAGGAGGAGAAGATGGTGTTGACCATGGCTGCGAGGAACGAGGGGAGCTCCCTCAACACAGCAGTGCGCACCATGCCGGGGTCTATGGGGCTGGAGAGGGGGGACAATGGGGGACACAGCACGTTCAGAAGAACGAAGGTGGCTCCCTCAGCATGGCCATGCGCACCATCTCGGGGTCCATGGGGCTGGAGAGGGGGAAAGAAATAGAGGATAGAGCATTGACTGCCTTGACTGTGTTGACTGTGTTGAATGCCTTGACTGTGTTGACTGTGGCTGACTGTGGCTGCGAGGAATGAGGACAGCTCCCTCAACACGGCAGTTCAGGAAGGTAGGCACAGGAGAAAGTACAGGGAGGGAGAGACTTACACCATAGAGATGTGACACGTGGAGGGGTCTGATTGGAGGAGACGCTGTAGGTGCTGTGAGAAGAGGAGCAAACACACTGCAGGCACACAGCAGGGGGGCAGCAGAGTGGAGAGGGGAAACGGATGCAGGTTCTGAGGCGTCTAGAGAAGGCTCCTTGGATTTTGTCACGTTAGTTGCTGGAGGTGTAGTGAGAAGAGGAGCAGGCACACTGCAGGCTCATGCAAGCATACATACACGCAACACACACACACACTGCAACAGACGACCATACGTACGTTTGGAGGCCTGGTATATGCTGGCTGCAGGGTAGAACAGAGGCGTGGGTGAGCTGGCAGGAGCAGCAGCGCCACCTGCTAGTGATGCCACGTCAGACACGTACAGCTGGCGCACTGGTATTGGAGGAAAACGGGGAGGAAGGAAGGGAGGAGGTGGGAGAGGAAGGGAGGCGGAGAAGGAAGCATCTGATATGCAAACGTGTTCTGACAATCCCCTTCAATTGTCTCGAAACAGCTCAAAGGGTTAGCACTAATAACAGAAATAAATAATGAGTTAATGAATATATTCTGCTGCTCTGGCTCACCTGATCGATGCGTGAAGGAGGTCACATTGACAATGCGGCACTCGAGTCTCTCCTCCCATTCCTTCAAAACCTCTCCTTCCTTCGCCTCCTGCCCTTGTGCCCCCTGCTGCTGCCCGCAAGCTTGTGTGTGCTTCCCACCATGTGCATGTGCATGTAGGGACGGCGGTCTTCTTCCCTCCTCCGACTCCCCACACGATCCTGTGCGCTCTTCCCCATGGGCCTGTGCTTGTAGGGACGGCGGTCTTCTTCCCATGAGGGGCAGCAGGCGGAGTGTGAGCAGGACAGGGCCGAGATAGTTGGTGGCTAGCATGCTGGAGTTACCAGGATGGGGAGAGAGCGGAGGAGCGGGGAAGAGGGGGAAGAAGTCAAGGATCAACATGGGGGGAAAGAAGGGTGTATGGCCATAAGGGGCAGCAGGTAGAGGGTGGAGATAGTTGGTGGGTAGCTGGCATGCTGCGATCACCAAATGGGGGAGGGGGGAGAGGGGGGAAGAAGGGGGAAGAGGGGGAAGAAGAGCAGGGAGTAACATGGGGGTGTGTCCATGGGGGGCAGCAGGAGGAGCGCGAGCAGGGCCGGGCCGAGACGGTTGGTGGCTACCATGCCGCGACCACGGAGGATCAAGGGAAACGAGAGGGGATCGGATCAGAAGTAGGGGCCGGATATGACTTTTGAGACATCTCAAAAGAAGTATGGGCCGGATATGACTTTTGAGACATCTCAAAAGAAGTATGGGCCGGATATGACTTTTGAGACATCTCAAAAGAAGTATGGGCTGGATGTGAGAGGAGCAGTGGGCAGAGGATGAGCAGGGCCGGGCCGAAATAGTTGGTGGCTGGCTAGCATGCCGCGGCCATGGATGAGTAAGGGAAACGAGTGGGGATAAAGCAGGGGGTCAGAAGGATGGCTGTCTGTCAGTGAGGGTCGGCAGGCGGAGCGTGAGCAGGGTAGGGCTGAGGTGGTTAGTGGTTAGCATGCTGCGACCACCGATGAGCAAGGAGGGAATGGAAAAGGCCAGTGGGAGAGAGGCCTGGGAGGGATCGTACCGGTCAACTGGTAGAGCGGCAGGTGCAGAGCAGTGGGAGACGGTGGGAGCGAGGACACTGGCAGTGCTTACAAGAGGACATAAGGGAGGCATGGGGGAAGGAACTTGTGATCGTACCGGTCAACTGGTAGAGCGACAGGTGCAGAGCGGTGTGAGGCGGTGGGAGCAAGGATGCCAGCATTGTTGACAAGCAGACATAAGGGAGGCATGAGGGAAGGAACTGCCTGCCGCTGCTGCTGCTGCTGCTGCTGCCTCCAGAGAAACCCCTCCCCCTCCTCCTCCCACTCCTCCTCCTCCTCCTCTCCCTCATCTCCCTCCTCTTCCTTTCCCTCTCTTGAACCCTGCTGCTGTGTCTCCGCCTTTCCTCCCACCTTCCCAATCCCACCCTCCTCACCAGAATTGCTTCTGAGAAAACTAAGAGAACTTTCAGCCTTTCCTCCCACCTTCCCAATCCCACCCTCCTCACTGGAATTGCTTCTGAGAAAACTAAGAGAACTTTCAGCCTTTCCTCCCACCTTCCCAATCCCACCCTCCTCACCAGAATTGCTTTTGGAAAAACTAAGAGAACTTTCTGCCTTTTCTCCCACCTTCCCAATCCCCTCCTCTGCATCGATCATCATCCCATCCAGCCCTAGTCTCGACCGCATGAGGTGGCAGAAACGGACAACGGATGCCGGCCGGGAGAGGTCGAGTGGCAGGACTTCTATGGACGCATGCGGATGTTGCCGAATGATGTCAGCAGCTGCCTTCACGGGGAGAGCACATGTGGGAATGCCGGGCGGCATTGTTTGGAAGACAAGAGTTTTGGGTTTCGGGGTCTCTCAATCGACAGTGTTCAGGGTATTGGGTCTACGGTCTACCCTTTCAGCTCAAAGGTTAGGGTTGGCTGGCATAGTATGGAGGGTGCTAACTGGGAAAGCATCTAAGTCATGACACAATAATAGTTCCTCATGTTACGCAATTGCGGACTAACAAGACGCATTCAAGTTCTGACATAACATCTTTCTAAGTATAGAAAAAAAACCCCTCGAACCAATCTCACCTGGTAGCCTCGCTTGAAAGATCTGCACCCTGCAGCAGCACAGGGGGTGGGAGCGATGGTGACAAGAAATTGACTTGAAAACCTTGGGCAAAATATGGTGACAAATGAGTACTTTGGGAGAATTAGGTGGCAGCGACGGGAAAGGGCATGGTTGCTCAAATGTGGAAAATGTGACCGAGAAAGATCCATTTTCCCAGGTATGCATGGATCAGCCACATCTCACCCATCCACCGTGCATCTCACTCACCGTGCATCTCACCCACCGTGCACAACTCGCCCATCACATGCATCTGCATTTGATCATCCAAATCTCACCTATCACCACATGGAAGGTGCCTTTTGAGTCGACTCAAAAGTCAACTGGCCCATCACATGCATCTGCATTTGATCATCCAAATCTCACCTATCACCACATGGAAGGTGCCTTTTGAGTCGACTCAAAAGTCAACTGGCCCATCACCTGCATCTGCATTTGATCATCCGCATCTCACCTATCACCACATGGAAGGTGCCTTTTGAGTCGACTCAAAAGTCAACTGGCCCATCACCTGCATCTGCATTTGATCATCCGCATCTCACCTATCACCACATGGAAGGTGCCTTTTGAGTCGACTCAAAAGTCAACTGGCCCATCACCTGCATCTGCATTTGATCATCCGCATCTCACCTATCACCACATGGAAGGTGCCTAGGGATGCCAGTGCTGTTGCTGCCTCCTTCCCCAGCCCTGACGTGGCCTGGCAAATCAATCATTAGAAGGACTTCATTTTTAATATAGCAAGCAATTTTCAGTAAACCCAACAGTCAATAAGAAAAGGGACTGAACAAAGTTAAATTGTTGCGTGAATTTCATATTACACAAATGTCGTGTCAGGAAATGACAACCGCAACACGAGGTGTAATGATACCCGGAAAAGAATCACACACATCTCCAACAGACCAGCCTGTCACATCACGCCACATCACACCACACTACACCACACACACACCACACCATACCACATCACATCTCATCACATCTCTTCATTTCCCCATCACATCATATCACATACCCACCCAGTCACAACGCATGTTTCTCTCAGTGCTCTCAACACATGAGGCGACTCAACGAACGTACCCCAGTTACAAAACTTTTGAGAATTCTCAAACAACGTACCCCAGTTACAAAACTTTTGAGAATTCTCAAACAACGTACCCCAGTTACAAAACTTTTGAGAATTCTCAAAGAACGTACCCCAGTTACAAAACTTTTGAGAATTCTCAAAGAACGTACCCCAGTTACAAAACTTTTGAGAATTCTCAAAGAACGTACCCCAGTTACAATACACGTTGCTCGCAACGCTCCTCCCTTTACACCTCCTCCTCTTCCTCCTCCAACCCTTTCTCCCCCCTCTCCTCTTTCTCCTCCTCTTTTCACATCTCTTTGTCCATGATCTCTTCCCTCATCCCCATGCTCCTTATCACCCCCTCCGACTGCTAATCCCGCTGCTCGCGACGCCTCCGATCTACTTCCGGGTAACGGATTTCGCGAACTATCTTTGCTATTTCGCAGAAACGCGACGCGGATGTGCGACAGGAGGACATACCAGGTCCAGAAAACGCCCATAAGGAGGAAATTCGGAGGGTACAGCACGTTCGTTAGAGCCCTAAACGCTCGATCATTCCAACTAGCGACGTTTCCTCGCAACGCGGGCTTCATCGTGAAAAACCGAAGCACGTACGCCGACGTTGCAGCAGAATTGAGAGTCACCACTTGGCGGACCTCTCCACGGAAGAGTCACCTCTTGGCGAACTAGAAAAGGACGCACGGCGACGTCGAGGAGCGAGCGACGGGAACGACAGTATGTGCAGTGCGTGATCGTGCCAAAATTTCAACCCAGAAACAAGCCAAGTAACTGAAAGATGCAATCAAAATTCCTGAACTGACGATGCAATGACCAAGTCTTACCTCATCGGCTTCCATCGACGATGCAACACCGCTCGCTTTGGTTCAACCAATCCAATTCCACCCGCCATGTACGTGTGACGCTGATGTGAGGGGTGTCAGAGGGTCTGTCAGATCAAGTTGCGGCTGTGGGATGCACATCGAAGTAATATATCCACCGTATCTGACCGAGACAAAAGCCGGTTTTTCGTCTCCAAATCCCCTACCTCGCTATGAACATTTCTAGCTACTGGTAACGCCTGCGATTTGTGGCATGACAAAAAGGAGGACAACTGTATTCCAAACATCGCAACCACCCAATCCGATTGATTAAACAAATGGTAATAACATCTGGCTCAGGTATAGCTTATGCTAAACAGGAGTTGATGCAACATCAGGCTGCTGAGGCTGCAGCTATAGCTCCCACCAGCAACTCGCCTCCAGCCCCTACATAAGGGGAAGAGGCTCACTGTTCTGTAGCTCTGTACAGGGTACAGGACCTATCACATGAACAGGAGGAATGTGCCTCTCATGCCATTCACACGCAGGCACCAATCACCAGAGGACCAGATACCACCCAGTACGGTCCCAAAACCGTTCTTTCTCCAACTTTGCTCTCGTCTAGCCTAAGGTTAAGCATCATCGCCAACACAGTTATGACAAGGACCTAGAGGTGCAGCTGAGAAGGGGTGTAGATACAGGAGGTGGCAGGCAGGACAACAGCAGTTAGCAAATTCCAGTGCAGATCACTGGCCGTATGGCACTGTTGCAGCTGGTAACCATCACGAGACCTTCACCATCGAAGTCAACAGAAGCACCAGAGCAAAACTGACATCAGCAGCGCCTCCAGTTCAACATCAGAACTGGCGTTTCAGCACTGACGCTGATGATGTCACACGCCGCTCTCCCTCCCTGTTCTCCCATTTCACCTTCCAACCTCAGCTTCAAACGGGGCCCTCCCCTCCACACTCCCCCATCAATGCAACGCAGCGAAGTCGCCAGCAGCAGTCTCGATCTCATCCATAAGCCATTGAGGTACGTCGTTAATTAACTCTACGCCGCATCCCTCCACGGTTATCTTATCCTCTTCATCATCCGAACCAGCGTTGGCTTCAGTGATTGCCGTCTTTGCAGCCGGCTGCGCTCGGAATCGCCACGCGCAGCCGTACCACGCCATGACGCCGTGAACGGCGCTCTTCGCGACGCGCACGAACCCCAGCAACGCCGCGCGTTCGTCACCTTCGGGCAGATCCTCCGCCTCGAGCTCGATCCGACTAGCAACCGCAGCGAACGCGACGGCGAGGGAGTTCTGGAGGAGAAGATTCGTCTCCCCGTCGAACAGCTGCGCTGCGGATAAGGACGCTGACGTGGCGAGCTTGCCACGTGTCACGAGGAGGGAATCGGCGGAGAGTGCTGTGAGAGCGGCTGCTGTGAAGATGAGAGGGAGGAGGGCTTGGAAGGAGGAATCGGAGAGAGGGGGGAGGTGGTGCTGAGTCGCCGCGAGGAGCATTGCCGGCCAGGCGACGTTGGTTGTCGCACGGTAAAAGAGGTACTCGTGAAGAGCGGGTATTTGTCCCGCTACTAGGGATTGCCGTAGCGCGGAGTGAGACTTCAACCCAGCCTGAAAATGAAGCACCAAGGGTCACGACACGACATTAGGACATCAACGACATTGTCAAAGATACCAGAGGTGTAGAACGGGAGTTGAACTTTCAATCTGAAGTACTTCATTTTCAGGTAAAGGTTACTGAGCAAATTAGTGCTTACCGTGCTGTATGCTGACCAGCAGCTCAGATATCGCCTCAACCAGGACGCGGAGTCGCTGTTTGGTCGGTCTAGACTATCGGAACCCTGGCTGGATTGCAGAACTGACAGCGATCCGACGAATGCTTCCAACTTCAACGGATACTTGCTGTCAAGCCGACGAGGGAACGAGCTTAGATGTCTTCTCTCTGTTCTGCATCCCCCCACGCGCCCATTCCCCCCAGTAGCGACCTCCCCGAGAAACACGGTCAGCTGAGAAAATTCATCTTCCGAGCCATGCCGTTTCAACCAGTCGTCCCATAATAGGAAGCTGTGAAGCTGTTTCGCGGCAGCTTCGCAAAATGATCTCGACCCGGGATGGACCGCGGAGAGAGCGAGCAGGAAGGGAGCCCAACCGCCGTCAGACGCTGTTAGCCTTAGATCGTCTAACCCAGCCTGAAAATGTAAGAGACCATCTCGCTGAGCTGGCAGCTCCCAGGTTTGCCACGTGGATAAGGAATCCGTCATCTGCGCCTTCCATACCAACGGCCATGATGGCGACAGGTGGATTCGGGTTAGCCTGTCAGATAATTCGCGGTTTACTAAAACTCTCGTGGGGGACGGATCCCTGGGTAGTAACTTACGCCTGCTTGACGCAGAATCTAATACGACAGCTAGTTGATCCATGGCTTACGCACGTGCTAAGTTAGCTCTCGGAATAAGTTAGGCTGAAGAAGACAGCTACCTAGGTCGAAACAGCAGATATTAGAGACGACTTCTACTATCGACAATAATGTCTGGCCAGCCCCAGGCGTGCCAAAGCCGAGTTGACAATCAGAGGTAAGCTTAAAATCTCTGGAAAGACTTCGGGGGCTACGGAAAGATGGTCAGAAAGAAGGATCACGCGAAGCCAAGGGAGAGCCGCTAGGTGAGCAGGCGAGACACAAGCCAACAGAGCTAAGGCGGACCAGTTGCGGCTAGAAAGGGCCTGGAGAAACGCGTAACATGCGGAGGAGAGCTCTGGTGGGGCACCAGGGGGGATGGAGAGTTGCACCAACCAAATTCCCTGCGGCGCAGTTTTCTGTTCCAACGCACGGCCGCGGACAAAGAGCAAGCTGCGCTGGAGGTTGCGCGCCCTGCGCGTGCCCCTTCCTGGACTTTCATGAGGAGTTCAGCTGACTGGTGGCGGCGATCAAAGTTGCGCTCTTCCCCGTCTGGTCGGGAAAATCCTCGTACAGCAGGACGGATGTCACAGAGAGAGCGACGGGAAGCTGTGGAGAGGGGGAAGGCGGGTCTCCTTGAGATCGCATCAGCGCATGGCACTTTTTGCGTGTCGTTCTCTGCGACGCAGTTGTCAGGTTACCGCGTCGCACTGATTTGTGGCTTGCTGTGCTGTGCTGTTTTGCTGAGGTGGCTTGTTGAACCTGTCGCACACGTCGATCGCCGCCAGCGACGCATGGAATGTGGAAACAAAACCAACGTGGGCGATTCGCCAGGAACGGGTTTTTCCTGGTGTCGCCGATGTGCTGACCTCGAGGGACAAAAATTTGGCGACGAACATCTGCGACCATAAACCTAGAGTTAATCGCACGTGCTTCGTTATCCTTATTGATCCTGTACACGCTCCAGTTCAAGTCGCTCTGTTTCTCCCACCAACCAATCCCAATAACGACGATCAGTGGGAGCAACTGGATAGATCTTGACGCTTCCCTGACTGTATTTGTGCCCAAGCGCAAGGTTCGTGGCGATGGGGATTGGTCAGATAGAATAGGTCAGGATGTCCATTGGTCAGAATAGAATTCCACGAATACAGCTGACCACAAGATTCAGGTAACACAAGCCATCGGATGGGAAGGAAAGGGAGCCACAAAGAAGCTGAGGGAGCGGCACATAATTGTTCAAGACAGGTGTTCAAGATGAAAATACTGTAACGAACTGCCGTTCAAACGGGCTTGAATGGTGGTCAAACGGGTATGGTCAAGAATAAGAGGTCAACATGACCATACAAGGTACACCAAACCACCATTTTCTATCGGTCTATTTTCAATCCCACTTGCACACGTTGGTATGCACCTTTTCTAAATCTTTGACCGAGGGTTGTGTGGGGCGTCATACATTTTACAGAGAGTCCGTTCCAGATCCCCAAAACGAGTAGAAGCGGAGTAATGTGATTCGCAACAGGAAAACAAATCTTCACACGAAGTTGTTATTGACTCAGATTCGCATGATGAGTTTGTCGACATCGAGCATTAGGCGCCATTTATAGCCCCAGGCATCGAAGTATCTAACTGAAATAGTCCAGTGTTACGAATAGTGACATCAGAACACTACTGTGCACTCCTTACCGCGGCTAAAGAAGCATGCAGTAGCGAGAATGAACGAGAACAGTCAAAACTGACTCGAAGCGTCGCAGACGGTTGAACTGCATCTGGACCGTCGGAGCAAACGACATCGGACATCTGCAGGCAGGAGGGTTTTGGCGGGAACAGTTTCGTAACTGTACGCGCCGCACGGTTGGGAATGAATTTGAATAAGGGAATGTACCCCTTCAAGCACATGGCTAGCTAGGTTGATTCGAATTCCCTGTACTCTTATTTATATCGTTGTATTTGCATGTTCTAATCATCTCAAGCATTTTACATTCACTCTGCTATTGAGATCAAGGGCCCACCAACACTATCTACCTGCGTGCGAACCTTCCCGAGTAGATCCTGGGAGCGATCCCCTTCAGATCGTAGCATGGTATGAGAGCGGCTCGGGAATCCTTCGCACTGCCACTCCCGAAAATTACGACATTTGAAAGTGGCGTCCGGCACACGCTCGCGTGTGAGAATGGCCGGACTAAGCTGACGGCTGAAGCGCAAACCAGCCCGGCTGCGAAAAGCTAGGGAACGACAACGATCGGTACCGAAGTCCTCGCACAACTCCTTCAGCGACTCACCAGCTTGGAGCAAGGGCTCCAAACATTGCGGAACGGCGATGCGGGAACATCCTCGCAACCTTCTCAACCGGCCCCAACTGGCCAGAACGCCGCCCCGCACACTTTCTCCCTCGACACAAATGGTTCAACCCCCAAGGCTCCCCGTCCCAGTGAAGAGGCAATTCTCAACACGCAATCAAGGTTTCTCAGCATATCAAAAATAAAGACAAGTACCTGCTTCGACGGCAGAGATTTCTATACCTGGAGCTTCGAACTGGAGCTCCTGCTGCAGAACGCCCAAATCTTCCATTATTTCGACGGGAGCTACGCGGAACCCGCTGAGGACACCGACGACGCCAGAACTCGCTATTACAACAAATCATTGATGGCGTACGGAGTCCTCCTGCGCAACATGTCGCCGGCGGAGCAGTTAAGTATCCGTTCGTACAAGACATCGGCTGCTCCGGCCCTCGACGCTTGGCGCCACCTGAACGGTGTGTATCAGCCGAAGGACTCAGTCTCTTCGAGCCGGCTACTCCAGCAGTTACTGGAGACCAAAATGACCTCAGGGGAGAAGGTCAACAGCTACATCAATCGCTGTCGGAGCCTTCGCGACCAAATCGCGAAGTTGGGAAGTTCGATTTCGGAGGAAATCTTCGTGAACATCGTGCTTCAAGGGCTCGGCCCAGAGTGGCGGCCCTGCAAGGCGCTTCTCCGACAGCAGGGGGTCATCTCGGAGGCCGCCCTTTGCGCCGCCCTTCTCGTCGAACAACGGGATATGGATCAGCAGCGACCAGCGCCACGACGAGAACGCGAACGGCTCGCCTTCTACGCCGACAACACCGAAGAGCGACGGCCGCGGCGCCTCTACTGCAAGATTTGCAGAAATTTTGGGCACCTGGCGGATCGATGTAAATTCAGATCTCGCCCTCGCCCGACCAATCCGAGCAACTGGTCCGACCGACAAGACGCACGAGGCGACGTGCGTCCAGCCCAAGGGTATCAACACTCACCCGCGCGCAACCTGAACCCAGCGGTTCAGCAGCAGTAGCCATCACCGACTGCCCCAGTTCGCAACGTCATGAGCAACATGGCCATGACGGGCGAGTCGCGTCGTCGCCGCGTGCGCTCACCTTCACCTGAGCCAGCACCCCACCCTAGTGGCGCATTCAACAACAACAATCCGTTCAGTCCGCGCCACGACTTCACCGACCACAACAACCAAGACTGGAATCTTACAGTCCCGCTGCTTGAAAGTACCCCGCACGTACCTGATATGCGGGTGGCGCCACTTGATTGGCTCTCGCGCGAACAATTTCTGAAGTTTGACACTCCGCACATCGTCACGCCGCGACTGGCGCTGCTCGCCCGTGACGACAACAAGCGCTACAACACCTGGTACCTGGACAGCTGCTGCGGCCAGCACATGGTGGGCTCCGAGCGTTTCATATCCAACGCCGTCGCCACCCCCACAGTCACCTACGTCACCGTGGCTAACAACACACGCCTGCGCGCAAGCGCGCAAGGCATCATCGTGCTCAAAGAACGCGGAAGCGGCACGCACATCACGCTCAACAATGTGCTGATCGTCCAGAACCTGAGCTTCAACCTGCTTTCCGCCGCACAGCTCATGGATTGCGGCGTCGAACTCAGCACAGATCGCGCGACGCGCGACATTCTGCTGCACTACGAATCGAGGGCCTTCCCCCGCAGGCAGATCGGAAGAGCACACTCCGAAAACGGAGTGTATGTCCTGGACTTCGACATCCCCGACTGCAGCGGCGACTCGCACGAGTTAATCGACCTCGTGCCACTGCGCTTCGAGCACATCCACCGCAGGGATTGGAAGCACCCTGACGGAAGACCGTGGGTGCCGCATCATCCCCACCCACGCGACATGTGTGTCAAACATTATATGTTTATATGATTGTAGGCAGTAGTGGGTGATACCTTAGGGGGTACACTGGATTAGGGTTTCCTATTTGTATCCATCCTTCTGTTAGTACAGTCATTCCAGTCCGTTATTACTGACATGGTTTCAGAGCAGGTCCTTCGCTAGGACCGTTCTTAGGGCCCACCGTTACCTACATACCTACCTACCTACTGTGCGCCTCGTGCGCCTACGCGCCCTCGTGCGCCTCCTACCTACCGCGCGCGCGCAGCCCGCCAGCCGCCCGCGCGCGACTCAATTTTTATTTTTTTAGCGCGCGTATCCCGCTACCCCCCGCGCGCGGTCGATTTCGCTGCGCGCGCCCCGCTAGCCGCACGCGCGCGGCTGTTTTCTTTACGCGCGGCCCCGCACGCTGCCCGCGCGCTGCCTGTGCGCCTCGCTGACGCGCCCGCTGCTGCAGCCGCCCGTCGCCCGCTCGCGCACACCCCGCCGTGGCCCCGCAGGCCCGCAGCTCGCCGCCGCAGCTGCCGCACGCCCGTTGCCCGCAGCCGCCCGTCCGCCGACGCCGCTGCCGCCCGTGCACCGACGCCGCTGCCACCCGTGCGCTGCTGCCGCTGCTGCTTGCGCACCGCTCGCTGCTGCAGCCGCCCGTGCGCTGTCGGCGC